GCTGGCCCGCCTGGCGCCGGGCACGCTCGTCCCCGCGCTGCTCCACCGCGGAGCGGCCCCGAGCCACGGCGGCTTGAGCCAAAGTGGCTACGGACGCGGTGGACGAGGAGGAGGACCAGGAGGAGGAGGACGACGACGACGACGACGGCGGCGACGACGACGACGACGACGGCGGAAAAAGGCGACGACGACGACGACGACGACGACGACGACGACGGCAAAAGGCGACGAGGGGCCGATGGCCCCCCTGAGGCCCCGGGCTGGCAACCGTCCTGCTGTTCTCCCCATCAGGCGAACGTCAGAAGCGGGACTCCCGCTCGAGGCTTCTCGACGAACCGACAGGTATCCAGATCTCCGACATTGGCGTTTTTGTCGCAATATGGACCCCCAGATTTGGCCCCCGAGATGGGCACGAAGAAAATGGGTACGATGCCCAACAACAAATGTTCTCCAAAAACGACAGCGGCCGCTGTTGGGCAGGCGGCTCGTTGTCTTCCAAGGACCAACGTCCGCGGTGGCGCGAACAGCGAGTCCTGTTCAAAACGGTCAGGAACTGCTGTGGGGCATCGTGTACCCATCCTTTCCGTACCCAGGTCGATCGTCCCGACCAAAAATCTAGACCGAACTGCTGCTGGGCATCGTACCCATCCTTTCCGTACCCAGGTCGATCCTCCCGACCAGAAATCTAGACCGAACTGCTGCTGGGCATCGTGTACCCATCCTTTCCGTACCCAGGTCGATCCTCCCGACCAGAAATCTAGACCGAACTGCTGCTGGGCATCGTGTACCCATCCTTTCCGTACCCAGGTCGATCCTCCCGACCAGAAATCTAGACCGAACTGCTGCTCGTGGCATCGTGTACCCATCCTTTCCGTACCCAGGTCGATCCTCCCGACCAGAAATCTACACCGAACTGCTGTGGGGCATCGTGTACCCATCCTTTCCGTACCCAGGTCGATCCTCCCGACCAGAAATCTACACCGAACTGCTGTGGGGCATCGTGTACCCATCCTTTCCGTACCCAGGTCGATCCTCCCGACCAGAAATCTGCCCCTTTGCCCAGGGACCGGCCCCCTCACCCCGAGTCGTGTGCCGACGGCCCCGGGGCCCGGCGAGGGCCCCAATGCAGTCGAAGAGGGCCGAGGCCCCGCCCTCGTGGTCTTCCGCCCGAGGCCTCCCAGCGAGCCGAGGGGTACCCAGAAGCCCTTGGCGAGGGGATGACGTCGGCGCGCGGCCCCAGGGAGTTACCGACCCCCATCCCTCGGCCAGCTTTGCGCCCCAAAACAACTGGCTCGTGGTTTTCCGACCGAGGCCTCCCAGCGAGCCGATGGGTACCCAGACGTCCTTGGCGATGGGACGACTTCGGCGCCATGGCACCAGGGAGTTCCCGACCCCCTCCCTCGGCCAGCTCTGCGCCCTGGAACCACTTCTGATGGCCCCGGTGCCACATCGAACAAGAAACACACCTGGGCTTGCTTCAATGTTTTACCGCAGTGTGTGTGTATATTTTGTAAACGTAAACATACTAGAACCACGCACGCGCTTCGAGCGCGCTTGGGTTCTAGCGCAGTCCAAACCATACTCACAGGATCGGACGAGCATCATCCCGCGAGGATCACCATATGGGAGCGTACTTCCTGATGAACGCTTCAGAAAGCAGGCCCCGAGAGATCCCGCTGCACTGAGCAGATACACCGAGCAGATGCCCGAAGGAAACTTTTGGGAGGCTTTGGGAAGTCCGTGGCCTGTAGACCGTCTTCAGCGGTTTTGAAAATCTCCTGGGCATCTCGAAAGCCCCTCGGACTATCTCGGAGGTGTCTTCGGAGGCCCCTCGGTAACCCTGGGGCCAAGATTGGGCCAAAACCTGAAAGAAATCCCAGAAAAAAACGAAGCCGTCTTGGGCGCGGCCTCGGGGATCCTTTAGGCCGTGCTGTGCCGTGCCAGGAAGCGTTAAGATGCTGCACCACACACAGTACCAGACAGATGACGCCGCTCACTCGTCTCATGGAGGCGACGTCCAGCACAGCTACGCGCATAGGGACGCGTGCAGAGCGAATCCCCCAGCTGCTTGTTTTGCAAGCGCCCAGGAAGGCCCCAGAAAGGCGCTCAAGACAGCCACGAGGACCCAACTCTTGGAGGGCTCTTGGGGGTTTGGGAGGGGAGAGGGGGAGCTCTTGGGCTCCTCTTGGGGCCTCTTGGGGGTCTCCTGGTGGCCTCTTGGGACTTCTTGGGGGCGCCTCGGGGGCCTCACTGGGGCACTCGGCGTCTTTCGGGGCGGGAGGCTCGAAATGTCCGTTCGGAGCCCCGCGTTTGCCCCTCTCTCGGGGCCGTCTTAAGGGCATACTAGATCGTCTTGGGGGCCTCTTGGGCCGTCTTTGCGCTCTCTTCGGTCGCATTGGGACCGTCAAAGAGGCCTCTTTGGCGGTTGTCTTGGTGCTGTCTTAGGGGACCTCTTGGGACGGCTTGGAGCATTAGAAGGTAAATTTAAAAAATGACGGCTAAATCGGACGCAAATCAAAAGAAACTGGATAAGTATGGTCTCCTGGGGCCCTCTTGTGGGTCCTCTTGGTGCCCTTTTGGAACGTTTTGGGACCCCCTTGGGTCTACTTGAAGCTATCCCCAGTTTCGTCGAGCGTTCTTGGACCGTCTCGGGACCCTCTTGGCGCGTCTTGAAGGCCTCCTGGGTCTTTCGTGGCCGTCTTGAGAAGCTCTCTGGGCGCACTCGCCCCCCAGGGGCGGGGAACCCAAACACGAACAAGCGCGGCTCCTCGATCGAACCTTGGCCCCGGAATCACACACACACACATACATACATATATATATATATATACATATATAGAGAGAGAGAGAAAGAAAGAAAGAAAGAATGTCAAACATGCGAAAACAACTACGTAAGAAACAACAATACAAACAACAAGTACACACCCACACACAGACAAAAATGATAAGACGGGTCACTCTCACATGCTGGCGTGACGCTCACCACGTATACCCCAAACCACCGATGCCCGCCCTCTTCGTTTTGTAAAATCGCGCCCCCCTTGTGGGTACACCTTCCTTGCCTGCCACGCGTAGTTGGCGCGGCCCCCAAAGCAAGGAAAAGAAGGCAGGAGGGAAGAGTCAGGGGGGAGGCAGAAGGATGGAGCACGAGACAGGGGGCCACATGCGAACCCTACCCCTCCCCCTCAGAAGTCGTGCGGGGTAGGGGTAGGGTTCGCATGTTGCCCCCTACGAGAGGGATTATCAGGAGGGGGGTTAGGAGGAGGACTACAAGCGGCAGAACCACATGGGCGGGTCGGGCGGGCGGACGCTGACGGGCGGGTCGGGCGGGCGGGCCCAGACGGCCGGATCGAGCGGGTGGGTCGCTGAAGCACCAGTCACGGATGGATCGCGCGGAAGTCTCGAGCGACAAAGCGATTCCTTAGCGAGAGCATGATTCCTCGGTGTCGAGACCGCGGAGTCTCAACAAATTGCAAGGAAATCCCACGCGGGAGCGCGACTCCTGCGTCACATGTGAGGAAATCCCGCGTGAGAGCGCGATGTTGAATGATTGGTGAGGAAGTATGACGCGGGAGCCGCTGTTGCTATAAGTCGGGGGTCAGGGGGCGCACTTCGAAACCAAGACTCCCCCTGGTTCAAGAATAGGGTGCGAGCCCCGGGAGGAATATCTTCATGGAAAAAAACACCATGGGGGTCCTGCAGTGCTACCGCAAGAACGCCGAGTGGGCCCAGTGCTTGTCCACGTGCAGCAACCCAGGGCGGCCGCGGCGTGCGTCCCTTGCCCCCAGGAGGAGGAAGAGGGGGAGGAGGAGAAGAAGGAGAGGGAGGAGGAGGAGGAGGAGGAGGAGGAGGAGGAGGAGGAGGAGGGAGGAGGGAGGAGGGAGGAGGGAGGAGGGAGGAGGGAGGAGGGAGGAGGAGGAGAGGAGGAGGAGGAGGAGGAGGAGGAGGAGGGGGAGGAGGAGGAGGGGAGGAGGAGGAGGAGGGAGGAGGGAGGAGGGAGGAGGGAGGAGGGAGGAGGAGGGAGGAGGAGGAGGAGGAGGGGGAGGAGGGGGAGGAGGAGGAGGAGGAGGAGGAGGAGGAGGAGGAGGAGGAGGAGGAGGAAGGAGGAGGAGGAGAAGGGCGGCCCTGGAAGACAAAAAAAAAACAACAACAAAAAAAAAAAAAAAAAAAAAAAAACAACAACAACAATAATCACTTTACCCGAACGCTCAGTGTTCTCACCAGTGCCAGGGTTTTCATGCGACGCCAGCCAATACCCCCACTTTGTGGGGGGGCAGTGCAAGCTCTACCAAATTTCCACACGACTCTTCGCCACCACCCACACCCAGCTTCCCGCCCTATGACGTTCGGACACTTCACTTCGTGGCCTGCGGACGACCGTGGCTACTACACTGGCGTGGAGTACACACCCACAGAAGTTGTTAAGCCTACGTTCGTACACCCACAGAAGTTGTTAAGCCTTGTTAACCCACATGCAAGAGCGTGCGAAAGTAGCTCGCGCGAGCTCATGTAACATAAATGTTGGAAAACCATTGGTTTTTTTTAGGATTCGGACAGCGCGCGCGGGTGGAAATTTTGAAAAGTCGTGCAGGTGTTTTTCGAGGACCTACGGTGCGATTCGTGTGATTTTATGATGCGCGGTGCTAAAATTCTTAAGAAGCCCAATGGTTTTTGGAGATTTCGGCGTGCGCGCGCGAAGAAAAAACGAATGTGTCCCGCATGGTATTATTTGACAGGGATGATGGCCCTGGCAGGTGCGCAACCGTTGTCGCAGAAGTTCGAAAAAGTTGCTCGCAAAAGCCCGTTTGACAGAAATGTTTAAAAAGTGTTGGGTTTCCTACGAATCCGCAAGAGCGCGCGGGATGAGATTTTGACATTTTTTTGTTGAAAAACCATTGGTTTTTTGATGTTTTTATGTTAAAATCGCTCGAACACTAAGGTTTTGGAAGGATTTCGTCTTGCGCGCGCGAATGTCCACTTTACCTTATTTTTTGCAAGGG